TTTTGACTAGTAAGAATAATAATTCAAGATATCTTCAATTACATTTTGACTAGTCAAAATTCCTTTCAAGATATCTCAAATGACGTCACCGGATTCGTCATTGAAAGGGTCAGTCATCCGTAATTATAATTTAAGATATCTCGAACGTAATTATGACTAGTCAGAATTACAATTTTAGATATCTGAAGTAAGACATTGCGTGTAAGCCCCTCTTTGTCTGTACTGAGCTGTCCAAACAATTGCCTGAACATTCAATGGCGCTGGCAGTTTTGGACAAAATTGTAAGAAAATGCCACAATATAGAAAGAGCTTTTCAGTATGGGATATACGGAGAGCGCGAAAATCGTGTACTTGAGGAATGCTTAAGGAATTTGCAAAGAATTTCTGATTTACTTTCTGCCGACACACACAATGCCCTGAAAAACGGCCTAGAGGAGCTGAAAGCGCTACTATCGACCCATGTCCAAGCTGGAAATGGGGAATATTCCGCAGCTCGGGCCAGTTCAGGTAATAACTAAATGTGGTTTTCATACTGTGGTAAAGCTGTCTGCCTCATCGGAAATGATAATAAAGCCAGTCAGCTCTCGATTTTGACATGCTAGACGGCACCAGGCATTATAGCGCCCTCCTTTAGCTCCTCTGAAAATAAAAACGTACCTCCAGTTTTGTGTGATTCACACTTTAATTTGCTTTCCAGCGTCTACAAAAGTTTAAAGCTTACTGTTCATGCAACAGGAAATTATGTGTCAAAATAAGTATATTGTGTGAAATGCATTGTGTCACCCTTAGAAGACAAAGGGATACCTAGAGGATAGATAGACAGACATATGGATAGAGGAAAACAGATGTATAAAGTAAACATTATGCTGAGGCATTTGAATATGAATCTATTTTAGGTGGTCGAGGGAGACCGGCTATTCATATTACAAGAGAGCAGATGGACTTTCTTCTGGCCCAAGGACACACGGTCAAGAGGATGGCAAACATCTTTGGATGCTCAGCATCATTTCTTTATAAGAAGTCCAAAGCACTTGGTGTACCAATAAGGGGAAGGCTGGCTGCAGTGACTGATGAAGACCTTGAAACTAATATCAGACAACTTCAATCCCTGTATCCAAATTCTGGGACTGAGGTATGGAATTTAAATATCTTGCTTCTGAACAAATATATGTAATATGTTCAACAGTGGTGATGCAGAATAATAATTATTTAATGTTAAGTGTCACAAATGATGATTAAAAATTTCATTCATTTTATGACCAGATGTGAAATCTGAAACGTATATTTTGTAAAAGATTACTTTCAAAATGTAAAATTGTGTGGTGGTTTGATATAGTAAGACCACATGTCCTTCATTGAACCAGATGATGCGAGGCTTGTTACATGCACAAGGACTGGTGGTTCCACGGCGCAAAGTCCGTGAGATGATGGCTCGAATCAACCCAATGGCGACTGCAAGGAGGTGGAGCAGCGCAGTGACTCGACGTGTCTATCATGTGCCGTATCCCAACAGTTTATGGCATATTGATGGCAACATGCGTCTCATAAGGTATCTGAAAATATCAAGGATGTATTTCAGAGTAAATTTTTTAAAGCTAAATTCACTATACACATTTGCATACATTATTCCTTATACATTTTTTTGTATTTCCATTTAGGTGGGGCTTTGTGGTCCATGGTGGCATCGATGGATGTTCTCGCTTAATTACTTACTTGAACTGTAGCACAGACAATCGCGCCTCAACAGTGCTATTTCATTTTCTCAAGGCAACAGGCCTCTATGGCTTACCTTCTAGAGTGAGGTCAGATCATGGTGGCGAGAATGTGCAAGTGGCACTGGTGATGAACCTCCTACAGGGCACTGAACGTCGGAGTCATATCACTGGGGAATCCATCCATAATCAGAGAATAGAGCGTCTTTGGAGGGATGTGTTTTTACATGTTCTGGAACCATTTTACAGCATGTTTTATAATCTTGAAGATTCAGCCCTCTTGGATCCCAGCGACGATGTGCACAAACTTTCTCTTCACATAGTTTTTCTTCCTGAGATTCAAAGCCGACTAGAACAATTCAGGAAAGCATGGAACCACCATTCCCTGCGTACAGAAAACAACAAAACACCAACACAGATCTGGACTGAACGGATGTTGGCAAACATGGGTGCCAACAGCACAGCAACTAACAACGTGTTTGGTGAAAATTCCAACGCACCAGAGACTCTTGAAGAACTTCTGCAACATCATGGCCTTTGGCCACTACC